GTCCTCAGATAGATGAATGAGGGTAAGGGTTTTAGAACTTGTTTTCATAACTAGGTTCTGAGCTAGAGCTGCAAGGGTAGATTGGATTAGAACCAGTAGAACTGTAAGACTTGCTGTTAATCCCTTCTCTTCTGTCCCCTGTTTTTTCTGGTTGATTTCTTGGAACTAGATTAACTTCCTCACTGTCCTTGCTGGACCCATCTGATTCCTTATTTATTTTAGATACAGCTGTGGATTTTTTGTACATGTTGGGTTTACAGAAAAGCTTCTAGGCTCTTTTTCATCAATTGTTTTCCATATCTTCAGTTTAAGTTTTCTTATTTTCCAGCCTTCATTCTCTTGACGGCTTTTCTTTCCTTTACTGGCTTCCTTGATTCAGAGACTATTCCCCTTTTATTTTATTTTCTTCTCACGTTCTTGATTATTTTCTTCCGATTTTTCTTCCGCTCTAGTTACTGTTTTTCTGTGTTAATATTTAACATAACTTTCTTGTTCTGGATCGTGCCACTTCTCCCGATTTTTGAGTCCAACCATTTTCTTTCATATTAGGTATTTCATTATTCGATTCCTTAGCTATTCCTGCTGTATTCTCTTCTGGATCTGAATAATCTACTCTTGTAACATTTCTTCCTTCTCTTTCTTTCCATGTTGCTTCAAGTTTCTCCTCTTCAACTTTCTTCTCTAGAGTTTGTATGAAACATTACTTCAGGTTTCCCATCCACAGTTCGGTTATTGATCTCCATTTGCTCTATTTTCTTCATCATCAATGTGAACTCTGTTGCTGGTTTCTGTATCTCATCTATTGTTCCTGTTAATTTCTCTTTACAATCTCCAGTTTCTCTGATTCTTCAATTTGATTGTTGTCTGATAACCCTTTATTTCCTTCCAGCAATATTAGTTTTTGACTTGAATCCTGCTTTTCTGATATTCTTGATTTGCTGGAGTTCTCATTTTCTCCTTTTCTTTCTCCCGGATACATCATTAACCTCTCGGCAGCAATGATTCTAGACTCTTCATAATGCTGTTTATTCTTTTCTTTGGATTCTTTCTTCTCTGGTAGCATTATTTCTCCCCAGTTCCCCTCTTCTCGTTTTCTTTCTCCAACATTCTCCAACGATATAGGATTCACTTCAATTGTTTTCAGCAAGACTTTGATGCTTTGTGTTGTTTTACCACTCTCATGTTGAGTTTTGCTCCCTGACTCTCCCTATTTGATCTGGTGAAAAAACTGTGTTTCATTTCCATTGAGGTTAAAAACTCCTTATTACTTAGTGTAGCTTCAGTCTTAGCTTTATCCCTGTCACTCACCAACCTATCTATCCAATCTAGTTCTTTGTTGTGATCTATCCACTCTCTCTCTTCTTTACTCATCAAGTTTTCCACTCTGTCTATTACAGTCTACAGTGGTTTTTTGTAATTCATCTACTAGTCATATTTGACCAATATATACTCCCTTAATTGTAGGTCTACAGTACTCCCTACTCCATAAAAGTCTATCAGACCCGGATTAATCCAGGTACAACTCAATCTCTCACGTTGGTCTTTGAGGCACAAGAGCTAATCAGCTCAATAACACTTTACTATACAATGCCACTCTGGACACAATCTCTGCCCCATAAGCTTTTAATTTCAATACGGACACAATCTCTGAACCATAAACTATAAATGTCAACATGGACACAATCTCTGAACCATAAACTATCAATTTCAACACGGACATGATCTCTGAACCATAGACTATCAATTTCAACATGGACATGATCTCTGAACCATAAACTATAAATGTCAACATGGACATGATCTCTGAACCATAAACTATCAATGTCTAAACGGACACAATTTACAAGTTAAGTTAATCAACGTAATTACAAATTTTACAATGTTATATACATGCATAGTTAAGCTAATCAAAATACAAGTTTTACATAGCTATTTACAAACATAGATAATGAATATTGTACAACATAGTAGTAGTAGTAGTAGTAGTAGCAGTAGTAGTAAGTAGTAAGTAGTTTCTGGCAGTACTTGACTATCTCTAATCTGTTGTCCATAATCCATAATAGTCTTTCTGGTCAAAGTCGATCTGTCCTTGTTTGCCAGTAAAGGGGTTTTCCCCGCTTTCCTCTTGTTTTCTGCAAAAGTCCTAACTTTCCGACATATTCTTTATTTCTTGCTATTTAGGTTGTCACCTTAAATGATATATGTATTGTAATACTCATGAGAAGTATCAAATAAACAGAATTTTTTGACTTTGAGTGAATAAATTAAGAATGACTGACTTTCTTCAAGTCGAAAACGAGAAAATAGTTAGAAATTCTATTAGAAATGATGTGCAAAGCGCCAAAGAAAATTTTTGGCATTTTTTCCTCATTTGGGAACATTTATAAAAGATGGTTCACAATCATGATTATGCCGGAGTCAAGTGAAGGGAGTGAGGGGGGGGGCGAAAGGGGGGAGAAATATGACCTCCCCCCCTCCCTTAAAGTTGCGCCACTGATTCTGTTTTATTAATAATGACTTATAAATTGATACCTTCTTCACAAATTCAGAACAAAAAATCTTTGTATAATAAACATGAAAAAATCTTTGCGTGCTAAATTATAAAATTATTTTACAGCTGCAAATTTCAGGTTAAATGCAACGCTGCGTACAAGAGAAGAATGAAGCTGTGAGTAATTCATTTCCTAGATACTTATTCATGACTTAGAAATAATGTTCCAATGTCGAGGGGGGGGGAGGTGTAAGCAAAACGTACGACATTTTCCCCTTCACCTTTACAGGGGGGGAGCTGCAAGGGGAGCGGGCTTGCCCCCCCCCCCCTCCTAAAAAATAAGAGGTAAAGCGGAAATTTTGCTAAAATACATTTGAATGTTGGGAAAGTGATAATACAGTCCTGTTTTTGTTTACTTCCGCACACTTTTTCTCCCTCTGTAAATAATGGGTAAAATTTATATTTGGCGGGAAAACATAAATCATGTGTTTTTACAGAACCGGTTCTGCTGGGAGGACAATCCAATTAAAATCTTTAGTATTCAGAAAGGGAACAAAATTTCATAATGTTTAACTAATTACAGTAATACATATGTTTTGAATTTTCTTCTAAAACCTATGAAAAACTGGATTTATCTGGTTTCCTGATGTAAGCATAATTGCATGTGGCCCTAAATTCAAAGATTGCACAATGTCGGATTCACAACGGTACCCTATCCCTTTATCTGATCAATAATGTTGAAAATATTGTTGTTCTTCTGAGTTTAAACGTATTTAATTCTAAAGTGGTTTCCTTAGGTAGAATTTGGTAGAATTTTCAAAATTATGAATGTTGATCTATCTGATTAATACTTGATCAGACTGTGCTATTGGCCGACAGTTCTCTCCGCTCTTGATGCTCTAAATCAATTGATTCCAAGTGATAGAGATACCTAGTTGAAAAAAACGTCTTTTCAAGTGCATTGAATATAGAATAAATAAATAATATTATGAAATATCAACTATATACGAATGCGTCGAAAAATTATCGATGATTTTAGGTTGTAATATCTGAACAATTTGTAATTGGAATTAAATTGATTTTTTAACAATCCGAGTTGTATGTTACAACTTTCTGAATTTGTATGGACGCTACATTCTTCGGTAGGAGTCGTTTTTAACAATTTTTTCCTTTAGACGCAACAAAAGTAAGATTAGTAGCGATCACCATCGAATATTTTTCGCCGTAAGCCTATACCCCCTTTCATTTTTTGCGAACACTCCCTGTAAGGTTACCACTGTAAATCAGGCATTATCATGTTTGCATGGAGAATTTCTTAAAATTACCCTTACAGTCCCTTTACCTGAGATGCAAACTTATGATTACTCATGCAACTGATCAGTTGAGCGAGGTAACCTAGTTTATCCTCTACAACTGGTACAGTACACTCATATAATTTTCCCACAGTAGTATAGTACAATATATTTGATGGGAGCCGTTGCATTTGCATTATCAATATCATTAAATATCTATACCATTTATCATCTATGTCATATATCTGTACCAAATCTATCATATATCTATACCATATCTATCATATATCTATACCATATCTATCATATATCTATACCATATCTATCATATATCTATACCATATCTATCATATATCTATACCATATCTATCATATATCTATACCATATCTATCATATATCTATACCATATCTATCATATATCTATACCATATCTATCATATATCTATACCATATCTATCATATATCTATACCATATCTATCATATATCTATACCATATCTATCATATATCTATACCATATCTATCATATATCTATACCATATCTATCATATATCTATACCATATCTATCATATATCTATACCATATCTATCATATATCTATACCATATCTATCATATATCTATACCATATCTATCATATATCTATACCATATCTATCATATATCTATACCATATCTATCATATATCTATACCATATCTATCATATATCTATACCATATCTATCATATATCTATACCATATCTATCATATATCTATACCATATCTATCATATATCTATACCATATCTATCATATATCTATACCATATCTATCATATATCTATACCATATCTATCATATATCTATACCATATCTATCATATATCTATCCCAAATCTATAATTTATCTATACCATATCTATCATATATCTATACCAAATCTATAATATATCTATACCATATCTATCATATATCTATCCCAAATCTATGATTTATCTATACCATATCTATCATATATCATATAAAAACTTGATGTTTTCCATTTTGGGAAAAAGAAACAAAACTAGGTCTCCCATCGCTCAAGAAATAATTGCTTTGAGAACTTATTTTGTATGTTATTACAACTGGTTTGTTGTCATTCATTTCTTACATTTATCACACATATATTCTAACATGAATATTGTAGATAATACTGATTAACAATAACTAAACATTTTTATACATATTTGTATATTTCTTAGATACAATCTGAGATTCATCACGACTACATTTTTGCATCAAAAAATCGATAAAAAAAAGTAAAAATGTAAAAGCTCTAAAACTTGAGTTTCATGTTGTTCTGGAGTCGAATTCATCATTAAATACTAAAATTTGAGTTTAATCTTTTTCCCACTGTTGTTCTTGAGTCAAATTCATCATTAAATACTTGTTCTACAACTCCACTCCAATCAACTTTTCCCTTATTCTAAAAAAATATGTTTTACTATTAAACAAAAAAAAATACGTTTTCTACCTACAATTTTCTTTGATGTTATCCGCCCTATTTCTTTTGAGTTTTCTCCGTTCAAATCTTGGAACATTATGTTCCCGAGCCAACCTTTCATACTCTTCCCAGCGCACTTGTTTGGACTAGAACTTGTACTTTCTGACCTTTCTTCTTCTTCCTTCCTTTCCCCAGAGTTCCCGGAATTATGAGATTTGAAATCAAATCCTGTAATTCAGAGGACATTAGTTCCAAAACTAACACTAACACAAAGTGTTAGAAATGGTAACACATAGAAAGACTGGGTTTTTGGGATCCCGGCCCATATCCAGAGTAAAAGTTGATAATAAAAACTATAAGCAACACTTATTAAACATGACGAAGACAACAATTCCCCATTTTAAACTGGATTTTAAATCAAAACTAATAGGAGTTCTTTTTACATTAAATCTATTGACCGTTTTCAAGACTATGTCAGGTTTTCCATTTTCGAACATAACATGAATTTAAAACATTGTCGCGTTTTCGAGACAAAACCCACTTTCCCGTTTTTGAGTATAATCCGCAATTCCAACCAACACTCACTTTCATAACTTACAAAATAAATCACTGAAAACAAAAAATTAAATTTCTAAATTATTACTAGAATTTAAGTTTCCGAATTTTATCAGTTAAATTAGAAAATATCAATGACTTATTTTCAAGCATTTTAAACAAACAGTTTCGCGCATTTCTAGTTAAATCTATATTGTAAGAACAAATGATTTTTTTTTTGGTTTCTCAATGCTTTAATGATTTTTGATTTATAAAAGAACAGTTTGTTCTTATTTTCTAATTTGTTTATATTTTACCTTATCAAAAAAATCTTGTTTTGATGTTACGAAAGTACGTAAATACTTAAAATTTGACATTGATAAGAATACAGGTAATTGTCTTAAAACCAGGATATGTTCCGAAAACGCGACATTAGCTGAAATCCGGTAATTGTTTCAAAATAGGAATATGTTCGAAAATGAAATCAAGAATCATCAAAAACTAATTCTCACACTTTATTATTAGTTTAAAATTGACATTTATTGTTTCAATATATAGTTTTAGCCATTTTTTCTAAACATATGGTGTAATTTTGTTCTACTCGTCTTGGATTTAAAGAAATATACTCTTGAAAGAGAAAACTTTCCAGATTTGGCCCATTTTTTTACCCTCAGTGTTAGAACTTGGCCGAGTGTTAGTTTTGAAACTAATATTCCCTGTAATTGATATTATTCGATCAATTCCTTCAATAATATCCCTGGGGAGTTCCACATCATCATCTTGTATCTGCAGGGTTGCTAATGATGATCTACTGGGTGCTCTATAATTAGTGTTCCAACCATTTTGATGGTCCCAGGAGTTTGGCCCATTTGTCCAACCTGTATAGTTGACATCAGATGATGATGATGATGATTTTGTCGGAGAAGATGAGTTTGAAGAGTTTAAATATGAATTTGATGGCGCTGGAAATGATTGGAATCCTATCGTTGATTGATCATACAACTGCTGTTCTGATACATAACTAAGCAAAATTTATGATAATTAAAATCATATTATTTATATAAAACAACATACATTATAATTCTAAAAGGACTAAATTAAAAACCAAAATTTTTTGAATTTGGAAACCCAATAAATAAAACTACCATTTAACAATGAATTAAGTTTTAAAATGCCAATTTGGTTTGTTCCACTAAAAGTTGAGCAAATCAAGAATAATGTTTGTAAAGAATGAACCTCTTGAACAGGAAGTTTAAAATAAATTTTGATTCTCTTATAATTTTCATATAAAATGGCAGACAATAAATGTATGAATATGAAGAGTACCTATTTGTTTGCCACATTCTTCTTAAAGAGTTTCCTAAAAAAGTTAGAGTTGTTATAAAATGAGAACTTTTATTTATTTAATCCCCCCCCCCCCTGCAACCGAATTTTTAGTCAGGTGTATAACTAAACATAGAACTGCTAGGCATGATATTATGATTCCAATATGATATAATATAAAGTAAAATCATTATTTTCTAAAAATAAAAAGGCAACATCTCCTTCCTCATATTCAAGGTTATAATGCAAGGAAAGTTAATTGCGTACGTTTTGAAACCAGTTCTCTCTGGACGGAATTTGTAAACAAGATGCATCAGTGTTTGTTTAGTTTCCGAGGAGGGTAAAAACATTTGATTTTGATAATTTTGTTTCCAATGACCAGAATATTTCATTGATTTTTTATGTGAAAGATGGATCCATGTCGGGCTTTCACATCCGACAGTACACTGTGGTACAAAAGATGTGTACACATCTGAGATAACTTTTCTTGCCTTATAACCTTGGTTGGACCACACCGTTAAAATTTCTTCTGGCAATTATAACCTTGCTCATATTAAAGTAAATTTATTTTAAGATTGATATCTTTTTTTGTTCTAAGATGTCACAAAGCATTACCAGTTATGTGCAATGTCCTATTAAATCGATCTTAGCCTTTGGTCTAGAGGAGTGTGGTCCAAAATGCACTAATTTCTGTTAAAGCAAATGAACTTCCAAAGCACTGTACTATAATATTTGCATCAAAAATATTGAAATTATTTCAGAATAATACAACTCTAGTTTTTTTACTTTTACTGAGTCTAAAACTAAAGAACGAAAAGTTTTGACTTAAATTTTAAGTTCATGGTTAAATGCCACTTCTGACTTAATTTAAACATGAACTTTAACCGTGAGGTTAAATATTTAACCCTGTGGTTAAATATTTAACTCGCCGAAATTGAGGAGTTAAGATTTAAACACAGGGTTAAAATCTTGAAATCTCGCAATCCCTGTTTGTCTATAATCATCATTCAGCGGTAAGCAGCATTCAACTAATTACGATATATTTAAAAGTAAAACCTTGATTTAATAAATTTTACGTTTTAGATTAATTAATGTTTGCATGTAAACCCAAAATACGGTTGTAACTGGAAATATGTTTTGTTCTCCGTCACGTAAATAACTTAAAATTTAAAAAACAGCTAATTACCGAATACCGATACTTACGTAATAATTCTTTAAATCCTTTTCTCTGATTGGTTCAGATTTTTCCCGGGAAATTCAAATTTAAAATTGAGAAAGTTTAATATTAGACTCTGGTGAAAAATTGTAAATTTATTTAATCTATATAATAAAACAAGACATTCGTATATATATATTGCCTACAGCCGGTCAAACGGCTGGACCGATTGGGTTAAATTTTTTTGTGAACACTCAGCGGTGGCCGGGGGTTGTTTTAGGCTAAAAAAAAGAAATTCAAATAATTTTTTCCATTTTTCTTTAAAAGTTTTTAGGAAATAATCCTTTGGATAATAAATAAACATTGTATGTAAGATCAAAAACTTACAATGAAAAGTGTATTGTTACTACTGGTACTACTATACTTATAATGAAAAGTGTATTGATACTACTGGTACTACTATACTTACAATGAAAAGTGTATTGTTACTACTGGTACTACTATTCTTACAATGAAAAGTGTATTGTTAATACTGGTACTACTATACTTACAATGAAAAGTGTATAGTTACTACTGGTACTACTATACATACAATGAAAAGTGTAAAGTTACTACTGGTACTACTATACTTATAATGAAAAGTGTATTGATACTACTGGTACTACAATACTTACAATGAAAAGTGTATTGATACTACTGGTACTTCTATACTTACAATGAAAAGTGTATAGTTACTACTGGTACATCTATACTTATAATGAAAAGTGTATTGATACTACTGGTACTACAATACTTACAATGAAAAGTGTATTGTTACTACTGGTACTTCTATAGCTAGTAAGATGTAGTAAAGAACTGAGAGTTGTAAAAACAATTGTTCTTACTTCTTACTTTTTTTTTGCCAGGAAACATGTGTTGCTGATGCTAAAACATGAATGAAATTCTTAACGTAAAAAAGACAAATCACAGTTTTTTTAACCCTTCAAAGGTCAAGGACATCCCCGCTTTAAAAACTTCAAAAATTAACTAATTACGCAACAAAAATTCTAATTTTCAAATAACTCTATTAAAAGGTTAAGCCATGTCACTGTGTCACATAGTGACTGTATTTACAACTTTCATCACTAAGTTTATTTTGATTTTTCATGTATTATGATATGGAACTTCCTTGTGAAAAGATATTAATATTATAGTCTTTCATTAACTATCTTATAGACTTTAGATTTAGGGATAGTAAGGGAAGGTCTTTTTGACGCTCAACATTTTTATTCCATTTATCTCTGTGTCCCAGATAATGTAGGGTTATTCAACTTTTCAAATGTTTCAATATTCAGAATGACCTGTTCGCAATAACTTATTCTTTTTCTAGGTTTAGAACTCTCGAACAGATGTTATTTCATATCATTCATTAATTCCATTTCAAATAGAAAAGCTTAAAAATATGAAATGAATGAATGACCTAGTTCTAGGATATGGTTCTACCGCCAAACTTCAGCTACATTTAAAAATGAGGCTCCAGATTTTCAAAGGAATTATTTTTCGCCCAGAAATTCTGATTTTAAAATCTTTTTATCTATGCAACCTGATGTTGATATTTCAAACTATGAATTTAGTTAGATCAAATAGTCTAGGTTTATACACCATTTAAGGTTGCAAAATATAGGAACTAGCAAATTTGAGTTTTGGGCAAAACTCTATTTTTAATTTTTAATTTTTTTTAACACGGCAGAATTCAGAACTTTTGTGAAGTGCATTTCTGGTACAAGATTATTCTCATTCTGGTGCAAAAGGCAGTACTGAGCTGAGAACTTTAGAATGGTGGATATCAGGATTAATGCTTAATCCTCTTTTTTTTGCTAATCTCGAGACTAACATAATCTCGAGATTAAGTTAGTCTTGAGATTAAATATTTAGATCAACAAATTGGATTCTAAGAATGCCAGATTGGTTCGTTTTCTTGACTGAAAGGGCCCTCACTTAATTTCTCACTAATTTATTTATTAATACATTAAATAAAATTGGTTATAAAAGAATCTCGAACCTGTTATCAAATAATTTTCTTCCCCCATCAATTTACAAAATGGCCGACAACAAATTCTTTATTTGTTAGAAATTGCGGATTTCTCTCATGGGAAAGAATTTATTTTCAAGGCTGTCATTGGTCAATACAATTTACGAACTATATTCCTGCACTCTCATTGGAGTAAATAATGTACGGATATCCAAAGAGAAAGAAAAAGAGTGGATTAAGGACTAAGATTAAACGTTTCCACAGTGGATATTCGGATTAAGTAGTCGGGATTAAAGGTTATCCATTCTAAAATTCCCAGCTCAGATTAATTTGATTCCTCTTCGGCATCCCTCGGTGATGTTGGTCATGTCCTGCAGAAATAGTTAAAATGAAGGAATAAAACCTCTAGATACTGAAGTTTAAAAGAAACTTACTTTGGACATCAGGCTTTCAGATTAAACGATACTGGTATTTAACAAAAAAATTACGACCTTTGAATATCTTCAGAGATGTCACTAATGTCATGGCAGATGGCAAAAGGGTTTGTAAACGTGACTCCAAGTGACCCATAATTGGTCTTGCCTGTTTCACAATGATGTCCTTAAAATCTTTGTTAGATTAAGTATGAATTATATATTTCAATATAAATGAAAAAACAAACAATCAAAAATCATTCAATTTTTTCTAGTTATCACTGCATTTACTTTTTGAAGTATTCGTCCCTTGACAAATACATAGATTGATTCGTCCCTTGACAAATACATAGATTGATTCGTCACTTGACAAATACATAGATTGATTCTTCCCTTGACAAATACATAGATTGATTCGTCCCCTGACAAATACATAGATTGATTCGTCCCTTGACAAATACATAGATTGATTCGTCCCTTGACAAATACATAGATTGATTCGTCCCTTGACAAATACATAGATTGATTCGTCCCTTGACAAATGCATAGATTGATTCGTCCCTTGACAAATACATAAATTGATTCGTCCCTTGACAAATACATAGATTGATTCGTCCCTTGACAAATACATAGATTGATTCGTCCCTTGACAAATACATAGATTGATTCGTCCCTTGAAAAATACATAGATTGATTCAAAGTTGAATTCAAGGTATTTTTATAAAAGTGTGTAGTCACTCAAACCAAAAAAGCATTATATTTGAAAATCATCTTGTAGAGTGCTTCTGGCAAAAACATCTCTTTAGATGTTTACCTCCAGAAAATCATCTTAAAGTAAATTTTTCTTTAAATCTTACTATTCAAATTAATAACTTTACACAACCGTTAACAACCATACAAAACAACACTTAACAAGCACTCACAACACCTAACAACCATACACAACAACACTCAACAAGCATTCACAAAACAATTAACAACCATACAAAACAACACTTAAAAATCATACACAACACTTAACAATCAAGCATAACACTTAACAATTATACGCAACACTTAACAATCATACACAACACTTGACAATCATACAAAACACTTAAAAATCATACACAACACCTAACAATCATGCACAACTCTTACCAAGCATACACAACACTTTAACAACCATACACAACACTTAACAACCATACACAACACTTAACAACCATACACAACACTTAACAACCATACACAACACTTAACAACCAAGACAATAATTAGCAACAATACACAATACTTGGAAACCATCCACAATACTTAACAACCACAGACAAGACTTAAAATTACATTACATATAAGTATACATATGTATTTATCTATTAGTCTATTTTCACTTCATGAGCTCTTATTTTTAAACAATGTTTTTTAATTGAAAACGTGTGTTGGGGAGGGGTAATCTAAAAACGTGTGTGTGGGGG